TAAATCGATAAAAATCAATCTTCAAACCAAAAATAACACTATTTTCTCAAATTCTTCACAAATATTGGATTACGAATTAAGATAATTTTCCTAAGGATTTTTTTCTGCCAGCTTTTGTGGTTAATCATCGGTTGATTCATAATGTGTGTAAACATTAAACATTTTGGACTATTAATTTCATGTTTGGATTCGGCCCCGTAGTTTATGTTCGGATGGGCTTGATAAAAACTTTTACTAAAAGATCCATTTATCTTTTATAATTAATCGAACGCTACAACGAATTAAATACTTATAATACTAACTAAAAAATATATTTTAAAGAAGAAAGTAACTGAATAATCTTTTCAAAACTGAAAAAAAAATTCTTTGCAAAATCTTATCTAAAACACTCACAAGACAGGCTGTAAAATTAGCTGGATACAGGCAAACTGTAGAAACTATTTTGTATCACATCCAAAAATAAATTAATCCAGAAGATGCAATGTATGATAAATATATATTTTCTTAAAAGAGTTATTATATTCTAATGCACAAAATAGGTAAATGATTTGAGTGAATGTATTATATGTCATTCAATATAGAAACTCAAAAATTTAATTACAATGTAACTCTACAAAACAAGTAATAATATTATTTATTGTTTTCAAGTTAAAATAATAATCAATAGCCAATAAGAAGATAATATCGGAACTTAACAAGTGAATACAACCTTAGTGATGAATAAATATTCTCTCCTTTCTCTATTATTTTGTTATGATATATATAATGTTACAGTGTAAACAAACATTTTCACCAATAAATATTCGTTATTGTCTATATACCATGTGGCATAATTAATTACTATTTCATAAATATTAAGGATTTTCATGAAATTAATATATATGTCAATAGTTATTATTAATTTTTCCAAGTAAATGACAATACATCATTTGGACCATCCACAAGTCTATATAAACCAACTCTTAATTAAGTCCTAACAAAAAAAATATGCAACATACAAAATATACAAAACATTGGTCTTATCATCATGACGAGGAAGAGGCTAAAGCTAGCTTACATCGCCAATGATTCATTGAGGAAAGCAACATTCCACAAGAGGAAGAAAGGGCTCATTAAAAAGATCAACGAGCTCTCCGTTCTATGCGGTATCCAAGCATGTGCGGTCATCCACAGTCCGTTCAGCTCAATCCCGGACGTGTGGCCAACGCATGAAGGAGTGAAAAACGTAGTGGACAAGTTAGAGATGCTGCCAGAGATTGAGCAAGAGAAGAAAATGATGAATCATGAAGGATTTCTCAGACAAAGCGTCATAAAAGCCATGAATAATAACCACAAAAAGATGGCCGAAAATGGTGAGAGGACGATGAAGGAGGCTATGCTCCAGCTTCTTGGTGGGAATGGGTACAAGCTTAACTTGACTGATGGGAATCGCCAAGATTTGTGTAAGTATATTGATCAATATCTTAAGGAGCTTATTCACCATAAGAACGATATCCTAAGTCAGTCGCATCTTGAATATGGAGAATCTTCTTCAGCTGCTACGGTCATGGAAACCAGAGTTATAGCTGAAGTAGGTTCCTCCTCCTTTCCAAATTCTGATGTTTTCAACCCTCCTCAACAAACCAGTGATTTAGGGGCTTTGAGGTCCATAATCTCTTTGAATCAGAGACCAGAACATGGTAATACTTTTGTCGGTAACTTTCTTCCTGCTACTAATGACCAACAAGGTTGTTATCCGATGATGAATCCGGTCGGTGTTTATGTTCAGAATCTACACTTGAATGCTAATAATCAGTATCCGCAGAGGTTTGGAAATCCGAATGTAGGTCAAGATGCTATTTACAATCCGAATCAAAATCAGGTCCAACATGAAGAATGGTTGATCAATCAGATGATGAACCATCATGAGGAAATGCATTTTTCTATGATAGATGACAATAACCGTTACTACAACCAGCAGCTCTAAATCCTCTTTGTCATCGACGTTTGTTATGAAGATTTATTTTCGGTAACAAGTCTTTGGTTTGATATGTATTGTCTTTGCATTTCATGGAACTAGCTTGGATTTCCTAGTTATTTAATATGCGTTTTTATTATGTTGTTTTGTTCGCGGAGAATTTGCTA